CTTTCTGCCCTGCATCGCATGCAAGTGCTTAAGTGTATTTGTCTTGGAGAGGTCCCAGTTGGTTTGGTCATGGGGTGAGGACAGAGGAAGAGGTAGAAATGGATGTGTTGTAGAAGGAGAATGCTGTCACTTAGAATCGTAGAAGCGTCTAGGTTGGAAGGGACCTTTTAAGATCGAGTCCAGCAATCAACCTAATGCTGACAAAACCACCTCATGTCCCTAAGCACTACGTCTACCTGTCTTTTAAGTTCCTCCAGGGATGGTGATTCAACCACTTCCCTAGTCAGCCTGTTCCAATGCATGATAACCCTTTTGGTGAAGAAATTCTTCCTAATATCCATCCTAAACCTCTCCTGGTGCAACTTGAGGCCATTTCCTCTTGTCCTACACATGTTGCTTGGGAGAAGAGACCAACCCCCACCTCTGTACACCTCCTTTCAGGGAGTTGTAGAGAGTAAGAAGGTCTCCCTTCAGCCTCCTCTTCTCCAGGCTGAACACTGAATTTCACTGAATTTTTTAGAGTTGGAAGGGACCATAGAGATCATCTAGTCCAACTCTCCTGCTAAAGCAGGATTGCCCAGAGATTGTCAGAGCATGTTACTCAGGACTGCATCCAGGCAGGCCTTGAAAATCTCCAAAGAAGGGGACTCCACAACCTCCCTGGGCAGGCTGTTCCAGGGCTCTGTCACCTTTACTGTGAAGAAGTTTTTCCACATATTTGAGTGGAACATCTTATGTTCCAACTTGTGCCCGTTGCCCTTCGTCCTCTCACTGGGAACCACTGAAAAGAGTCTGGCTCCCTCCTCCTTCAACCCACCCTTGAGATACTTGTAAGCATTAATAAGGTCTCCCCTCAGCCTTCTCTTCTCCAGGCTAAAGAGCGTTGACCCTTTGATCCCTCAGGTTTTACACTGAGCACGGGGCAGATGGGATGGAATACCCTGTTGTTCAGGTTTGGGTCACCTCTCCTGTCCCCTCCTCCCCACAGATGTGACCCCTCTACACTTTTCCATTTCTGACCCTCTAATGGGGCAAATAACAGAATTGGCTGATCTTGGTAAACATTGGGCTTATCGCTCTGAGAACGAGCAGTTTTCTCCACAATCCGCCCTTAATTTCAGAGAGTCAGAAGAGGCCTGGCCAAGATGTAAAATTGCTGAACAGAAAAGTTGGTTCTGTTTTACTTCAAACAGGGACAAACTCCCAGTTCAAATGGCTGACAGCAAGAGGGAGGAGATGACTCCAGATTGAAGACGTTGCCAGTCAGAGCTGTGGTTGCATGGGCATTGGGAGCAGCAGCTCCATGGTTTTTTTGCTAAATGTTCCCTTTGCAAAACGTTCCTCCTTTTTTTTCTGAGAAGCTTTAGCATACCCATGTTTTGCAGCACGCCTTTCCAGTTTTCCAGAATAAATGCCCTTTTCCTCCCGTGTGCAGTTCTGGGTTTTGCTGAGTTAGGAGCTGTTGCAGATCCCTGTGTCTCTGTGTCATCCTGATAATGAAAATTTTAAGGGCAGGTCTATGTGGCTGCTTCTATAATAGCAAAGAACATGGTACGGAGCGCTCCTGGGATCCTCTGAGTATATGCATTATGCATAGATGTACTGATATTATCTTTGGTTATATGATCAAATACAATTTTTTTTTTATATGGCACTTCTGCTTCCTTCAGGGCTTGGTGGTGCTCCCATAGAAACTCTGACTGACTTCCATAAAGCAGAAGCAAAATCTTGAAGAAGAAAGCAGGAATTTGGCACTTGCGAGCTTTCCGTTGTTCAGCCCAAACAACTGTTGTTTGTTGTTTGGTTTTTTTAACGTGCAGGCAGACAGGATCCATGCAGTACATCTATATTTTACACCTACACTATGTATTTTATTCAATAATTTTTTTTTTTTTCTTGGATGAGCTTTGAGCAAATGATAAGTTATTCTTTATACTTGGTAACACTGCAGAGGATTCTTGAATTATTTATTTCATGCATTTTAGCTTAGTGTATTTGGATGCCTGTAAGCTAACTTTGAAACTGATAGGGTGTTTGAAATTTCTGAATAAATAGTGGTAGTTTGAAATACCTTGCCAGAAAAGGAGGTCACCCTCCTTCCTCCCCCCTGGTGTCCTCTGGGGGAAAAAAAAAAAAATTTAATAAAACCCCCACATAGCTCCTTATGAGTGGTGGGAAGTTGTTTTCTAAAACAGATGCTGCAGAGAAGTAATTGTGTTGAAGTTGCTAGAAATATGTATGTGCTGCACAACATCTGCACTTTTCAAGATGTAGTCATTATCTTTCCAGAATTTAGACGGTAATTATGGGTCCTTTATTTAAGTTTCCGTGGTGATACAGAAAATGTTTCCCCCTTGTCCTTTCCTAATCAGGACACTTGTATATTTGAACGGTTAACGATTTTCTCTCCCCTGGGTGAAGTTAGTTTTAGAAATAGAGAGATATTAAGTTGACAGGGAGCTGTCTGCTGCTCAGGCAGGGATTCACCAGGGACCCTTACAGGAGCCGTCCAGGAATGCTGCATCCCCATGGCCTGTAAGATATTTCCTGCAGTAACCAGAATTGTACGCCGCATTAATGTGCATTTATTTAAGTAACCAGCCTCATGCCCGTGATGGCTGGACCATCATGAACCTGGGATTTTATTATTGCAGGGTTTTTTTTGTTTTGTTTATTATTTTTTTTTTTTAGAAAACAGTGCAAGATGTGGCTTAATTACTAAAGATGATATTTTACTCCGGAGTTGTTTTTTTGTTTTGTTTATTTTTTTTTTTTTTTAGAAAACAGTGCAAGATGTGGCTTAATTACTAAAGATGATATTTTACTCCGGAGTTTTGGCAAGGTGCTTGAGTGAAAGGTGGACTTTTGTTTTGTGCACTTTTATTTTTTATCTTAAATACCCCAAAGATATACACATACAAAAAGAACCTACCAGCAATTGCCAAGCATTGAAATTAATTTTGTCGATATTACATGAGCTGCGGGTAGTGAATTGACAACACAGTTGGCTGAAAAGAAATGTTTAGTTTTACGTGTTTCGATTATTTGAATAGATCATAGCACATTTAGGCCATAGGCTTGATACATCTTGAAATAATTTTTATTTAAAAAAATTTCAAAGAAAATTATTTTTAACAGCTTATATAAAAAATAATCAATTTTTATGATAGCTGGTCACTGGACATTTACAAACTAATGTCTAAAACCTTTTTCATTTTTATCGGAATGGCAACACTTAGCTTTTTCCTCCCTTTGAGAGCAATTTTCTAGCAGGAACAGCAGGTTTATTGTCAGAATGTGGCAAATCAGACCAGAGAGTAAAATCTACCAGAGTGGCGGTGTGGAAAAAGCCAGCTTCTGTTGGGCTGGTGGTGGGAACAGTTTGCTTGAGTCCTGCTCTGCCCTCGCTGCCCAAGGAGGTGAGTGCCATCTTCTGTGAAGGCAGCAGGTGAATTTATGGGGCAAGCTGTCCCGAAGTTTATACTGCACCTTTTTAATCGACCGAACACAGTGCGTAAAAGCAGGATCTGGTTTCCCCACCTGTAGCTGATGTGAGATTTGAGGTGAAAAAAAGTGCTTTCCCTCCCAAAGCAGTGTTCCACCTGCTTGCCCACGATGCTCGTGTGTTCGGCTGCCATAGTGATAATCAAAGCCAGTCTTGGCAACCGTATCGCGTGCTTCATGGTCAAGAGCAAGCAGTGGAGACCGACCATGGTTGACAGCTGGCTTATTCACACGTGTGTGCACAACTGTGCACGTACACACCGGCTGCCCGTCGGCCCCGCGACGCCCTCCTCTATGCACGCCCGTGGATCCAAACGTCCGGCTGTTGTGCTTCCTTGGTGCCGATGGCAGGGAGGTAGATACTTCACACTGGGTAAGATCTTGGCAGCACACGAGTCAGTGGGAGTTCTGCTCCAGTGGGGGCTGGATTAAATCATAGAATCGTCTAGGTTGGAAGGTACCTTTAAGATCATCTCATCCAACCATCCACTTAACTCTGATAAAGAAACAAAACCATACAAAAAATCACCCACACATCACTAAACTATGTCTCTAAGCACTATGTCAACCCATCTTTTGAACACCTCCAGGGATGGTGCCTCAACCCCTTCCCTGGGCAGCCCATTCCAAGGCTTGATAACCCTTTCAGTGTAAACATTTTTCCTAATATCCAATCCGAACCTCCCCTGGTGCAACTTGAGGCCATTTCCTCTTGTCCTATGAGCAAAATGCCTCTGTGTTTTCATCCTGACAAAGCAAGGCCGAGTGTGTACAGCATGTATTGAACCTTCCTTCCCCCATCTGGTGGATATACACGCGCTAATGGGGGTGTAGTCACCCCATATTCAAAGCAAGTCGGTAGCAGGAGGGGAAGGACACTCATGGGGACGTCCTCAAATGCATATCTTCACTTTTAGAGGTTACAATTTACATTGGTCTCCTGAGTTCCTCTGCTGCTGGCAGATGAAGTCGGTGATGCCTGTTAGTCACGTGCTGCATTTATGTGATCATTTATGTATTACCCAGAGCAGGCGACGTCTGAGTTGCTTTTTCTCCGCAAAAAAAGTTCCCTCTCCACTGTAGCCAAAGCTGAAGGGGAATGGAAGCATGACCAAGTGCTCAAGTCCTTTGTTTACTACTTTGTCTTTGCACATCCTAATCATTTTACTAGTTTTGTATGAGTGTTGTGTCTTACTTTGTGTTCTGCTCTGTTAAATATCTTCTTTTTTCTTTTAAAAAAAAATAATAGGGTGGTACACAGAGTTGGGCAAGGTCTAATAATACGTGAATTTTGCTAATAAAACATGATATTCACAGGCTTTCTGGAGACTGAAGCAGGAGGTGATTCTCAGGTTCAATCTCCAGTCATTCCTAAGCCCTTGGTTCCCTTTTTCTCCTCAGAAGGTCCGTCTGAGAGCTAGAATTATTCCGTGTCATCTGGCTTCTTGGTCAAGGGTAGCAAACTGTCTAAAGCCTGAGTTGTGTTTTTCTCCCAGTAAACAGTTACGTGGAGGATGAAGAACAGACGGCATCTTCAGGAAGCGATGGTGAGGTGATTAAGCAGTTTGAGATCTCTGTGTCACGCTCACAAAGTCTTCGATCAGAAGTGTCTGGCAAAGCAATGCCAACAAGCGTGGAGCGTAGACCCAAATTCAGCCCTTTGCCCTCCCGCCATGAAGAGTACAGTGCAGAGGTGTCCGAATGCAAAGGTACTGTTTGCGTGAAATAAGATTAAAGAGTTGGAGGCTTCAAGATCTGTAGGCTCAACGTAGAGAGGTTCTTTTGTTGTGGAAAACAAGTCCTGAATCTTGCTTTCTCTCTTACTAAAGTTGGCTTACTTACTGGTTACAGAATCACAGAATCCCATGGGGTTGGAAGGGACCTCCGGAGATCATCTAGTCCAACCCCCTGCCAAAGCAGGGCCACCCAGAGCAGGTCCCACAGGAACGTGTCCAGGCAGGGTTTGAATGTCTCCAGAGAAGGAGACTCTACCACCTCCCTGGGCAGCCTCTTCCAGGTCTCTGCCGTCCTCAAAGTGAAGAAGTTCCTCCTCATGTTTAGGTGGAACTTCTTATATTCAAGTTTGTATTATTCAAGTTTGTTACCTGCAGCTCATTTCTAAAATACTTAGAGGGAAGAGTCTGGCTCCAAGCCCTGCTTCAGAATGGACTTCAGTCCATGAAGATCTTTCCATTAACTGTATATGGCTTTAAAATTCTGGCTCCTAATCCACAGGGATTTTCATGGATTTTATTGCCAGTTTTGTTGGAGTGAAGACTGCAGGACTTCGCTGTGATCATTTCTGGTCTGTGCCACTTAAAGTCATTTGTTTAGCAAGCCTTTTAGCAGAAGTTGAGTGTCTCCTTTTGTAACAGCTTTGCAAACACAAGGTGAACAGTGAAGGAATTATGCTGTATCATTTGCCAGCACATACGCCAAATGTCAGGCAATGACAGAAACTAAAAATTTATGCTACAGAAGGCAAGAATTGTATGATCTTTTATGGAGTAATGTAATGACTCTTCCATACAAACAGAGATGAAATGCATTTAAAATTGTAGCTAGTTAGAAGATTGGCCTGAACACCTTCTAAAATCTGGAACAGTTCATTAGAGGGAAGAGATGTGCAAGTGCCCCTTTGTTTTTTCTTGCATAGAATGTTTTAATTTTGAAATGCAGTTGCTTGATTTTGATGCTTGATTAGAGTGACCATTTCAAGATACCATCAAACTCTTCTTCTGGCACAACATGGTGCAGAGTTGCTCTTACTTTTCTTTTTAGAGATAATATTAATATTGTTTAAATAGCTGTTCAGAAACTATACGAACCTGATGTTGAAGCCTTCTTTCACTAAGACGTTTGGTTCTCAGCCCCATTCCTCACTAAGCTCAAGACTGGACCCTTACAAAAAAATGCCTTTGAACTAATCGTTGGGTATGTCAGGTTTCCTTCAAACCCAGAGAAGCTTCCAAGGCATGTAAAGCTGCTGTTACCAGGTGTGCAGTGATAGCTATACATACCCACAGCTCCCAATATGAGACATTTAATATCTTTATTGATGATCTGGGTGAGGGGATTGAATGCACCCTCAGTAAGTTCACAGGCGACACCAAACTAGGTGGGAGTGTTGATCTGCTTGAGGGTAGGAGGGCTCTACAGAGGGACCTGGACAGGTTGGATCAATGGGCCAAGGCCAGTCGGATGAGGTTCAACAAGGCCAAGTGTCAGGTCCTGCATTTCGGTCACAACAACCCCCTGCAGCGCTACAGGCTTGGGAAAGAGTGGCTGGAGCTGCCTGGCAGAAAAGGACCTGGGGGTGTTGGTGGCCTGTGGGCTGAACATGAGCCAGCACTGTGCACAGGTGACCAAGAAGGCCAACAGCATCCTGGCTTGTGTCAGGACCAGCATGGCCAGCAGGAGCAGGGCAGTGATGGTGCCTCTGTGCTGGGCGCTGGTGAGGCCTCACCTCGAGGGCTATGTTCAGTTCTGGGCCCCTCACTACAAGAAGGAGGTGCTGGAGCTGGAGGAGAGCCACCAAGCTGGTGAGGGGTCTGGAGAACAAGTCCTATGAGGAGAGGCTGAGGGAACTGGGCATGTTTAGTTTGTAGGAGGCTGAGGGGAGACCTCCTTGCCCTCTACAACTCCCTGACAGGAGGGTGCAGAGAGGTGGGGGTTGGCCTCTTCTCCCAAGGGAATAATGAGAGGAGCAGAGGAAATGGTCTGAAGTTTGAGCAGGAGAGGTTTAACTTAGATATGGGGAAGAATGACTTTCCTGAGAGGGTGGTCAGGCCCTGGAACAGCCTGCCCAGGGAGGTGGTGGAATCACCATCCCTGGAGGTATTTAAGAAACGTGTAGACGTGGCACTTCAGGGCATGCTCTAGTGCCCAAGATTGTGGGGGTCTTTTGTGTGTGTGTGGTTGGACTTGGTGACCTCAGAGGTCCCTTCCAAACATGAAGATTCTGTGATCAGCCTCATGCTCCCTTAGGGAATGGGAGCATTCTCTGGTCCGAGAACTCCATGTGTGTGAGTCCATTTTGGTCCTTAGCTGGTGCCATGATCACAAAACCCAGAAAGGTTTGTGCATGTAGAGCCACCGTTGTTCCCTGACAACGTGTCCAACACTTTCAGCTGAGCAGGTTCTCTGGAGCTGGAGTGAGAGGGATGAAGGATCTTTCAAAAGTCCTGAGTCCAGGTTGGGATCGTGGTACTTTCAGACCTTCTTTAGACTCTGCCCAAGGCTTCTCTTCTCCTTGTGTTCTCTTTAACAGACCTTTTACTCATATAGCTAGTAGTTTTCTTACAGAATCAGGAAAATATAACAAACTCAGGCATAGAGTGAAGTTGAGGATCTCGGGGAGCCCTGAATAACTTCTCTCCCACTCAGCCTTGACATATGGCAAACTGTTCTCACATCATGTTCTTACATGAGATTGTTCTTTGACCCTCTGTTTCTACTATCAGTGCCACGGCAGTCTGCACTTAGGACTTGTCTAGCTTTAGCTTTTCACTTTTTAAAATTCTTTATAGTCACCTGGATAGATCTTGGGAAGAGGAGCTCTTGCGCGGCAGGAAGGAAGTGTTTGGAGGGTGCTCTGGGGAGCTGAAGGGCTTGAAATGCCAGCTCTGCCCACAGCCTCTCTACAAATCACCCTCCTAATAAAGAGCCTATTTTAGTTCTGGAAACATGGAGTCTTCTCAGGCTATTACCCAGCATGTGGTAAATTAAACAATCTTGGCCTGATTGCATAATGTCACTTGAAATTTAAGATCCTTTTTCTCTTTAACCCCTAAAATTTACAAACCGTCTTTGTTTAGATTTATTGTAATTAGATAATGGTTCTGCTCCTTCGAGGCTCTTCTAGGAAGTTTTTTTTTAAGCACTTTTGGGGAAGCTAATTTAAAAATAACCAGCACCACTTGGTCTCCCTGCGTCTTGGTTTGGTGTGAAGGAGCACAGGGGGGTGCTGGGGAACTGCAGTGATTTGGAACCGTGGCTGTCTCCAGGGCCAGGCATACTGCTCTACGAGGACAAATATGCCTCAGTCCCCCTAACTTTTATCTCTGCTGCTGTTACTATGCTTCAGGAAGACAAGTTTGAAAAGCACTCCTAGGAGCCAGAAGAATTTCAAGTCCAGAAGTATCTATACCCATACAGAAATCCTTTTGTTCTCTGGCCCGTGTTTAAACAGAGTCTTAACTTTAAGCATGTGTTTATATGCAGTCTAAAAGAAGCGTGGCCAGCAGGTCAAGGGAGGTGATTCTACCCCTCTACTCTGCTCTGGTGAGACCCCACCTGGAGCTCTGTGTCCGGCTTTGGAGTCCTCAGCACAGGAAGGACATGGACCTGTTGGAATGGGTCCAGGGGAGGGCCATGAAGATGCTCAGAGGGCTGGAGCACCTCTGCTGTGAGGACAGGCTGAGAGAGCTGGGGTTGTTCAGCCTGGAGAAGAGAAGGCTCCAGGGAGACCTTAGAGCAGCCTTCCAATATCTGAAGGGAGCTACAGGAGAGCTGGGGAGGGACTCTTTGTCAGGGAGTGCAGTGACAGGACAAGGGGTAACGGTTTTAAATTGGAAGAGGGGAGATTTAGACTAGATACCAAAAAGAAATTCTTTGCTGTGAGGGTGGTGAGGCACTGGAACAGGTTGCCCAGAGAAGCTGTGGCTGCCCCATCCCTGGAGGGGTTCAAGGCCAGGCTGGATGGGGCTTGGATTAACCTGGTCTGGTGGGAGGTGTCCCTGCCCAGGGCAGGGGGGTTGGAACTCAATGATCTTTGAGGTCCCTTCCAGCTCTAACCATTCTCTGATTCTTTCATTTTGGAGAATCATGCTTTTTCTTGTAAAAGCATATGCAATTCGCTGCTGTCCACAGAGTAAATGTTGCCGTGGTCAGCACATGTAAGAAGTACACATTAAGCTCTTTATCTCAGTGTTTCTTCTAGTCAATGAACTATGTAGTGTTAATTGAGCAAGATCTACTAGGCTCCATCTTTTCATTCTGGCTGTGTGTTTTAGGAACTGGTGAGGCCTCTCGGGACATTTCTTAAGCACATTTTGTATTGCTTCACAGAACTGAGAGATTGTGCATGATTGAGAAAGGAGAAATACACTGCAGGTTAACCAAGGCATTTACCTGCCAATGTAAGGGAGGATTTCACAGTATTTTCCAGCCTGATTTTCAGTGTTTGATGTGCTGAGCTTTCCCTGTATCTTTGGAGAGGTGCTTCCATATCCCAGTACCTGTTAGAGCTCTATTTGGAGGCGATGCTCATCCTTCCACCTGACAAAAGTCACAGTTTCTTCATAGCCATTTTTCTAACCTTGAATACAGACTTTCCTGATTTGTTGGTAATTTCTGTTCCCCAGTATTGCCTTTGCTTCCTCCTTGGCTTGTTGGGCACATGTGACATAACAGGGAAAGGATGGGGACAGGACTGGAAAAAACAGCACTCTTCTGCTGTACAGCGCTATCTGCCCTTAATTTTAGAATTGGCTGCTATTGCCCTGCAGGGACTCTTGACTAATTAAGTTCAAATAGTTAGATGATGCTGTCTCAGTGTATCATCCCCGATGCTGTGCTGTTCACTCATGTCAAGTATTCATAAGACAGTTGACGTTTTCTTCAGTAAAGATCCCTCAGGTAAATTACAGGCATTTTGCTGCTCTTTTTTCCTTTACATGAGAACTTTTGTTTTAATCATTTTTTGTGTGAACATGCTGTTAGAACGGATGTAATTGGAGAGATGTAGTTGTTCTACTCTGTATAGTTTGGCTATTACCTGTAATGATCCTCTAATGTTGGTATTTATAACTGATTATCTCTTACCAAGCTACTTTCACTTGAAAGAAAAAGCCAGACTGTTTCACTAAATTATTTTGGTGAATCACCTTTCCCCTTCCTTTCCCTGAATACTACATTTGCTTTCCTAACGTGTTCATTTTTTGCCTGAGTCTTAAAGAGATGACTTGCTCTATTAATATATTTCTGGAGTTCTCCTGTTCTGAATGGCCTTTTATAGCTTTAATGTAGTTTTGAAAATTCCTCTATTACTGATCTAGATATCCCAGCAGGAGTCAAAACCACAAGACAATTGTATAGGGATAATTTCTTACTACAGTAGCATTTTATTCTGAAAGCCTGCTGTGTGGTGTTTGCTTTGATGGATGACCTACTGTTTAAAGTGCGCGTTAGATATTGGCTTGCTAATTAAATGCCTTAAGGAGCACCTGGACCCATTCAGTCTCGGTGTATTTGTGGAATTTCCGTTGTTTTATTTCTTGCTTACTTTCTTGTGTTTACTTCTTTCTGTTTTCTGACTTTGTAGAGAAGAATGGGAGTAATGGCAAAAAATCTAATTACTTTCTACCCTCACTCAAGGGTTTCACCTCAGGGCAGAGGCAAGACAATGACAGCTCTTGGTTTCAGGACTAGGTCTGCCAGATGGGAGGATTGAGGAGGAAAGGTGGGTTTTGCATTTCAGAAGGGGGTGAGAAGAGCACTCACCTGAAATTTGAGAGATGTTAATTTGGATCCCTTTCTCCTCCTCAAGGACCATCTCCCACTTCTCAGAAGAGGACCAAAATTACAAAGCTGTGAGGTGCTCTCAGGCTTGTCTGTTGAAGTGCCTATGCTTGAAGCGTTTTACTGGGAGGGAAAATGTGAGACAATTTGTAGTTGAAGAAAGGGCATAAAGTTATTCTCTTAATCTCTGAGCTAAATTAAATTGAAAGAGCAGACAAGGAGAGGGTCAAGAACTTCTGTACACCATCAGGAAACGTTTCCTGAGTATAATCCCCATTTCCCTTGTTCTTTGTTTTTGGGTTTGTTTTTTCTGTGGAGCAGGTATGAGTCAGAAACTGTATATTTGCTGCTAAAGCCAAACATGGAATTTCTTCTTCTCAGATTTGGGCTTTCTGTTCTAGACAGAGGGATGTGTGGGGGATCATGGAATGGCTTGGGTTGGAAGGGACCTTTAAAGATCATCTAGTCCAACCTCCATGCCATGATCAGGTTGCTCAAAGCCCTGTGCAACCTGACTTTGAATATTTCCAATAATGGGGCATCCACAACTTCTCAGGGCAACCTCTTCCAGTGTCTCACCACCTCATAGTAAAGAATTTATTCCTTATCCAATCTAAGTCTACCCTCTTTCTGTTTAAAACCATTACCTCTTGCCTTATCACTACAGGCCCTGATAAAAAGTCTCTCTCCATCTTTCTTACAAGCCCCCTTAAAATATTGAAAAGCAGCAATAAGGTCTTCCTGACACCCTCTCTTCTCCAGGCTTGAACAATCCCAACTCTCTCAACCTTTCTTCTAGAAAAGGTGTTCCATCACGTTCCCACTTCATTAATGAACCTTATCTCAGCCCATGGAGTTAGTGTGTAGGATCAGATGAATGAAAACTAATAAAGGCAGGCAGGAAATTAGGGAACGCGTCTTCCCTCAGTTGCTCTTGGGACAATTTAGCCCAAACACGGGATTTGGAGATTCCTAGTTCCCTTGTGGGGCTGGTCATGTGCACCCAAGCTCTCAGGGCTGGGTGATAGGGTCATGGTGGCACTCTTACCTCTGTGAAACTCCTTCCCAAGCCAGCACCCTCCCCTTGAGGGCAATGCTAACTCCTGTTCTTCTCTTTCTCCAGTTCCTTCTGCATGGAAGGAAGGTGCCAATGCCTGTTCATCAGGCCTAGGGTGGGCTTTTCTGTAATTTCTCTGATCTGTGTTTTCATGGGAGCAACCCCAAGGCACTTGAACATCCCAAACACTCCATTGATAATTGCATGTGGTGGTTAACTTCTTTAAGTGAAGACAACCAATTCCTCAGTTCAGGATGGGGAGAGAAACAGCCAAGTCTGCTCCATCAAATGCTGATTTATACAGGGTTTGTTATTTTATAAGTTCAGTGTTGCAGTACTCAGAATTAAAAACTCTCTTGCATGTACACTGGAGATGAAGGGGGGCAGGGAAAGAAAGTAGAGAAAGGCACATTTTGGGAGGTAGAGGGGGAGGAATTTATTCTAATCCCTGTGAAATTATTTTATTGCTGAAAATTGTAGATCTGGATGGACTAAGCCAACTGAGTTACCAAGACAACCTATCCTGTTGTGAAGATGACCGTGTATGTGTTGATTCAAGAAGAACAATTGAGAGTAGGGGCACGGGGCAGCCTCAAGGGCCCAGCATGGGCTCCAGCACTGCTGATGGCTTTAGCCAGCGAGCTACGGAAGGACATCTGGAAATGGAGACAGCAGTGATCAACCAGGGATTTGAAGTAAACGACGCTACTGACAGCTCATCGGCCTGGAGCCCTGAGGTATGGGGAATTGTCTTTTACTACCCCAGGTGTAAGCTTTTGAAGGATAGCGGGGGCTAATAATGTTAGTGAAGAAACAAAGGGGAAAATGGATCAGCACAGCACAAGGTAACGGTGCTCCTGTGTGCAGGTGTGCATGAACATGTGCCTCTCACTATGTGTTTCCCCTTTTTTCTTATATTTTACCTCTTGCTACTAACACTCATTCAGAGAAGCTGTTTTTTTCAATTGCTTGATTTCTGACTGCAATCTTTGAACTCCAATTGGAGCCATTAGCTGCCTGACAGCATTTGCTGTCATTTAGCAATGGCCCAGGGCTTTGTTACTGGCTGTATGTGCAGGGTGTGTTTCCAGGGAGATGGTGTGTGGTCACTGGGTCAGATCTCTGCCTCTTTTTCCAGGTGGTTTCTATGGCTTAGACAATGGGAAGCATCTGGGAAGCTGGAGGCAACTAGTAGGGGTGGCCAGTGACTTGGCCGATGACCATCACTCTGGTCCCCATTGGTACCAGGCATCCTTCCAGGGGAGGAGAGAGCCTGAGAGATCCTCTGCTTTCCCTTAGTTCTCTACCTTTATTTTGAAGCCTCAAGAAAACATTACAGATTTTAAAGCATAGAAAACACCTGATGACTTAGCATCCTGCTTTTCTCTTAGAATCTTTCTGTGGGATGTGTTGGTTTTCAGTATTATCTTGCCGTAAGATTAAATTTTTGAAAAAAATACCATCCTGCATCAGACATATTAAAAGAACAGCACAAAGGTCACATCTCCTGCCTGAGTTAAAAGACACTGTTCTCCAGCTGTGGAAATTATTACCTCCATCACACTCTGAGCAACAAGGTTTTGAGGGAAAGGTTCCTTTCATTAGAGCGTGCTGCCCGCAGCCGGTTAAAAAGATGGAAAGGATCCTAAGGGGTGTTTTGAACAGGGTTTTGGTTTGCTGCACAAACCAGTCCCCCAAAATACCACACGACACGTGGGAGCTCTGCACGGCGGCAGCCGTGACCTCTCGTGGCTGTTTGCCTCTGACACACGCTGTTTGTCTGCTCATCTGAGGCTCGTTTCTCCTTTCCACATTGGATGTACCTTGCCATGCTTCACGTGGCGTGATGTCTCTGGTGTCCTCTTATATTTCTTTGGAATACGCCTCTCGTTTCGCTCCTGGTATCTACATTTTAAAAATGCAAAGAAATGGTTATAGCGTCAGGGGGCGGATATGCCCAAGTCCCAGTTTATCTACTACAAGCAGCTTCTCACCCAAAGGTAATGTGTGGATTAATGAAAGACTTTTTATTGCAGGAACTAAATGTTCTGAAATGCCAGAAATGTCCAAGCGCTATTATGTTCCACTCAAAGGAACTCTCTTTAGAGACAAAAATGATAATTTTATGCCCCTGCAGTGGAAACACAAGTACCATTTTAAGCCTTGTCCATAATTAGCTGCTCTTTCAGGTTTCTCTGGCAGAAATGGACTTATTTTACCCAGTGAAGTGGATATTGGCTGTCCTGAACAATCGGGTTAGACATACAGTATCAATCAGCATACTTGGCTTGACATCTCAACAACTACTGGGAAGAGGAAAAGAAAGAAATTCAGACGAAGTATCTAAACCCCACGCTTTCTTTGGATTCTGGTTTAAGTGTCTGTATAACCCGTGTGTTCGAAAAGGGCTCGTAGCCCCAGCTGAGCTCTGAAAGCCAAGGGGAATTCTGTCAATGACTTCCACAGCAAGAGGGCTGAGCATGCATGAGCTCTTGTCTGCTGGAAACCTGGGCAGGGGTGAGTCCCAGATCACACAGTGCTCTCCAAAAGGGCCAGCCCACGAGGTCTCCTAAAGCTTGGTTGCCCACCACGGAAAGGTCACTGCCACAGAGTTTGACATTTCTCTTTCCCTCTCTGCCTCCAGTTCATGCAGTTTTCTCCGCAGTGGACGTGGCCACAGCCATAGTAGCACAATTTGAGGTTTCCTGAAATCTGGACCCTTTCTAGCTGTCCTGTCAGAAAACAGATAGCTGACCTTCAGTCTGCCCTACGTGCTGCCAGAAGATGAGATGCTCAGCCGCATTGGGGCAGAAAAGTGCCTCTTGGATCTTCTAACCTGTGGGTTTGTGATGACACACAGGAGTTTGCATTCTCCAGCTCATGCATGTAGATGAAAGCAACATTATGCCACAAGCACAGTTTTCTCCAGGCTGCAGCAGCAGTTCTCAATTGTGCCTTGATTCCATCTTCTCAATAGCAAATAGGCAGATGAAAGTGGGAAGGGATGAACATGTGGAGGGAAACATGAATCAAGCGCAATCCCCTGCATTTCCTTCTCAAATATTATTTCATCAACCAGACAGAAATAACTTCACAGCTCCACAGCAGCACTTAACATTTACATAACGTCACGTTCTCTCCAGGCAACCTGGCCTGCCTCGCATTTTTGTCTTTGCAGCCTGCTGTTCTTACAGAAAGACGTTTTTATGGCCAACCAAGTCATTTTGTGTGCTCTCCAAGCCCTGATTTTTTTCTCTTTGCCATTACTTCTGCAAGATGTACGACAGCAGGTCTCTATCACTAATGGGCACGCATGGAGTTTTGTATTTATGTGCAAAAATCATAGAATTGTAGAATGGTTAGAGTTGGAAGGAACCTCAAAGATCATCAAGTTCCAACCCCCTGCCCTGGGCAGGGACACCTCCCACCAGACCAGGTTGCTCCAAGCCCCATCCAGCCTGGCCTTGAACCCCTCTAGGGATGGGGCATCCACAGCTTCTCTGGGCAACCTGTTCCAGTGTCTCAACACCTTCCCAGGAGAGAATTTCTTCCTGGTATCTAATCTAAATCTCCTCTCTTCCAGTTTAAAGCCGTTACCCCTTGTCCTGTCACTGCACTCCCTGACAAAGAGTCTCTCCCCAGCTCTCCTGTAGGTTCCTGTCAGATATTGGAAGGAAATATATAAGAAATCCCTTAAACAGTTAGGAAAATATGTGAAGCAGGAGCTTTGCGCATCACGGCAGATGAATCCGAGCACTTGAAAAGTAGATGGATGGGAAGGAGATATAAATTTCCAGGTTTGTCCCAGGTCTTGTTTGATTCACATACCACCCTAGACCCTTCTGAAGGGAATTACACCAGAAGTCCTATGGCCTATCATCCATGCTCTAAGCAATGAGATTCCCATGTTGAAGTGTTATTTGAAATGCTAAAGAAGATAAACGTTTGAGGAGGAGGGTGACTCAGACTGCTAGTGACAGGCCTTAATTCACCTTCTGGCTATTAACTGAAAATCTTTCCCTAGTACAGGGTATACTCATGTTTAAATACAAATCATCGATCACTATAGCAACCCCTTTATCACATGAAGCACATTCTAGCTCTAAGATAAAAAAGCACTTCTGAACAGAAACGCACACACCCACTCATCAAAAGGTAAGGTGAACTTCCATGGGTTTTATCTTGTTTTATCAAGATGGTTTGTTTTAAAAGTAGGTAAAAGATTGTGTGTGAATTGGTCTGCACCTTTTGATTGTTTATTCTGGATTTTTATTCTGAAAGTATTAATATCACAATGAATAGAAGGAACAGATGCTTCTCTTGGGAGATTTAAAAAGAGAATAAAGAATAAATATGTATTTAATCAGACTGTTTTTCTTGATTATCGTTGCTTTAGCTGTAGAAAAAGTATTGAATTATAGGGTAGCATCTAGAAATGGAATTTCCATCCTGCAAGAAATTCTGACTTGGTGATTTCCATTCCCATCAAGTTGAACACAGTGCTTTTTTTTAATTATTTATTTTCCAACAGAACAAAATATCCAGAAAGTCAACAGGTTGGACTGAATTGTCTTCAAAGTAATAGGTTGGGGCTTTTTTAAATCAAATCAGACCAAAAAAAGTTTTATTAATGCCTCAAAATTTACATGAATAAAATTTAAAAAAAAAACACTTTTGTTTAGCTTTTCCCTATGTAGAATTTTTTCAACTTAACAGCCTCCTGCAACACACTTAGACATGGATGAAACTTTCTGTTGGAAACGTTTCAACAAGTGTTGTTGCTTGGGGAATGTTGTATGGGGAATATTACACCAGACCAGGCGATTAACTAGCACAGGCTCTTCAAGAAACAGTGGTATCCTTGTTTTGCAGAGCGACTGCCTAGACTTGAAAGCCCAAGTGAGGAGAATATCTTCTTTTTTTAAAGACGGTTGGGATCGCAGAGGCAGTTGAACACCAATGGAGGTTCTACTCGTTCATTCTCTTTGCAGGAACACGATGAAGTGAGCAGCGTACCAGCTCATCCTGGTGCTCATGAGCCCATCTGTAAATGTGGTGACCTAGATGTCATCTTCAACTATAAAGCCTCAAGTCAAAAGCTAGTAGTTACTATCTTGGAGGCCAAGGATATCCCAGACAAACACCGCAGTGGTGTGAACACCTGGAAAGTCCACACAGTCCTGATGCCTAGCAAGAAACAGAGGGGTAAGACAAGTGTTCAGAGAGGACCCATCCCCATTTTCAAGGATAAAATTACCTTCAGTAAGCTGGAGCCAGAGGAGTTAAGCAGCCACGCCATTCGTTTCCGCCTCTATGCAGTGCACAAGATGATTGGAGAGAAGATGATGGGAGAGCAGTTGTTCTACCTGAGCAACATCAGCCGGGAAGAGGAAGCGAGGGTGACATTGGTCTTGGAGCCAAGGAGTAATTTGAGTGTAAGTTTGATGGACGAAATGCAGAGTTCGTAAAGTTGTTCTCCTAGTGAGTGGGGACAAGCTGTACCTGATATCTTTCATTCAGGGCTGTTAGAATGCAGCTGGTGGATCTGTCCTACTGTCACTTAAAAAAAGTTCTCAGTTAGGGGAAGCACAGGGCATGCCTTCTCTACACAAAGCTGAGCCTGATTAACAAAGGCTGGGCTAGCAAGCTTGCACCAAATCACGTGGGTGAAAAAGTTCAGAGATGTGTTTTTGTAAAAGTCTTATTTTCCTGGTGCCCTGTCATAATGAATTCCTAGTTGTTGTCATCTCCGAAGTGAGATCTTACCAAACAAGGCTACAAAATAAATTAAGGGAGGGTGGTGGTGAATGTCCTGATGAGACTTTCGGTGCTCTCTCCTTGCAGAGTGCAGACTCTCAGCTTAGTCTGTCAGCAGTCTCTCACAGCGATAGCGCTTCTTCAACACAGTCCCTGTCGCATGGAGGGGTGCCAGAGCTGCTGGTGGGATTGTCGTACAACGCCACGACGGGGCGGCTCTCGGTGGAGATGATCAAAGGCAGTCACTTCCGAAACCTCGCGGTTAACAGGCCACCTGGTGAGTACGTTCACTGCTATTAAATAACACCATTGAGTCAAAATTTGCTTGTTGTTTTCTTCATCAAGATACTCAGTTATGTCATGTCTGAGATGGGTTTCCTTGCTGGTGAATTTTACAGTGGAATTGGAGGCAATCACACAAAGACAGAGCTGATGGGACAGTCATCCCTGAGTGTCCCTGCTATTGCATATGCTGAAACAAAGAAACTCACCCCCCTCTCAATACCTTTACAACAGCTGATTATGGCAAAAGTGCTGTTATACCCAAAGCACAGAGTAATTCTCAGCAGATCCCTAAAAAGAAAGGAGCGCTTCTCAAGTGATTATGTATTTCCATGTGACCTACAGAGGCCCTACCTAGGGCCATTAGGTGTTTCCCAGGACCATACCTCCCTCGCTGTGCTGCTGAGCGCTGGGTGACCTGGTGCTTTGGGCCCCTTTGGGGATCCAGCTGCCATGGTTCCTCCTCTGCTGCACAAGAAAATCTTCTGCAGAGAGAAGATTTGAAAGTTGTTCTGCTGGGTGGCAGAACAACCTGATCTAAATCTCCCCTCTTCCAATTTAAAACTGTTACCCCTTGTCCTGTCACTGCACTCCCTGACAAAGAGTCTCTCCCCAGCTCTCCTGGAGCTCCCTTCAGATATTGGAAGGCTGCTCTAGGGTCTCCCTAGAGCCTTCTCTTCTCCAGGCTGAACAACCCCAGCTCTCTCAGCCTGTCTTCATAGCAGAGGAGCTCCAACCCTCTGATCATCTTCATGGCCCTCCCCTAGACCCGTTCCAACAGGTCCATGTCCTTTCTGTGTCAAAGTCACGGGTGCTTACACGGGTAATAGCTGTGTTAGAAAACAGCTGGACAGCTTACAGAGACGTAAATCTTGCAGGCAGTCTCTTCTCCTCACATCACATATGTGGGATCGAAGGATATTTTGGTCAAGGATAAGTGTCCAGGCATTGTTCTGGGGAACATGCTGAGTTATAGGGCCTGAGTCTACAATGCCCCATCAAGCAAATAGATCTATTGTCGCTCAGAGCACTTAAGAGCACTCAAGAGTATGGCTGCAGCATCAGACCATAAATTACCCGTGTGTGCCAAAAAGCCTCATGCAGAAAAGCATCTACAGTTTTGTTAGATGTGGATATACCCTCAGTATTTTAGGGCTAATGGCTCGTGTGCTGTGCACCTCATTTTCTTTGGTTCTTGTAAAAAGCATTCACCCGTTCTAGCATTTTGCAGGCGTTCATATTTTGGTCTGTAGTATTGTGTCTTCTTAGAACAAAACCCAATGTGTTCCTTTAAAGGATGTTTATTATACAAAAAGTCACAAGAGAAGCCTGCACCACTGGCAGGCATATCTTTAAAAATTCATAACCAGTTACATACTGTGTCATGGTAGTAGTACCTTGGGATGGTAGTGAAGGACCAAGAATGATTTGTGCTAGTCAGTGTGTAACAAACACGCAGCAGAGGGATGGTCTCTGCCCAAATAATGTTTAGTCTTCATCATTAGCTCTGCTGGGTGCAGCTCTCTCTCCTCTAATCCAGCCTCTGTTCTTTCCTCTTCTGTGTTTCTTCTGGGGTTTATGCCTACGTGTAATGCAGTTTGGGAAGGACTACTGGAAAGGTATTCCCTTGCCGAAGAAAAGTCCTCCAAGCTTTTCAGCAGCTGCAGAATTAGTCACACACAATAATTACATCTGTACGTGATCATTATTATACCAGCAGCATATTAACCCCATTAAACAAATACAATAGCATTAATGCTGGGAAAGACGGGAGGGAGAGAATAAGCTATCAGGAGTTCTACTGGGAACAGGAGAAACTCTGGGAGTAAAGACTTGTCTGAAAACAAACATCTGCCTGAGCCACAGATAACAACGCCGAGAAGTACAGAAGATGCTCCCATAGGAAAATTAGGATCCTTACGTGGTATTTGTTGCTCTGGTATCAGAGTGCTTGAAAGCCATTACTGGATTTTATTTTATCAACTTGTTTGTGAGGGAAGGAAAGTTATTATCCCTGTTTAATTCCTGGAGAACAAAGGCACAGGTTGATTTCTTTAATTGCTCCCAATCAGACCAGGAAGTTGAATTAAGAAAAAATAACTTTTGACCTGCATATTTTGCTCTGAACTTCTTGAGCTCCTAAAGCTTTGTAATTCATGTTTCCATCTCATCAGTAGTAGAAGGGGGATCTGTACCAGGGCGAGTCCTCCAGAGAGCTTGGTTAACAGAAGAGTAGAGATGCTGGGCAGCTACTTGCTGCCCAAGCCTTTTGTCAATCGGTCACAGTAAGCTTGTACAAGACCTCTCCTCCTCCTGCATCTTTTTCTTGCCTAACCTTCAATATAGCTTGAATAAACTTACAATAAGATCAGCAGACAAAGTTTTGTCCAGGGCAGTAAAGATGAGGCTGGCTGCAAGGAGCCCCACCAGGGTGTCATACTAATTAGCGGCTGGGCAGCGAGGTGGAAGATGAAGTGTGGATGAGCAGAAGGTATTGCACGGGGGCAGGGGTGGAATTCAAACTTCATCTGGACGGACCGAGAGTCACTTGTGAGTGAAATGCCTAATGCTTATAGCAGAGAGCCCCAGGAAAACGTCCACTCAAAGATCAGCAGTAGTAGGCCTCAAGTTGCACCAGGGGAGGTTCAGGTTGGATATTAGGAAAAATTTTTATTCTGAAAGGGTTATCAAGCCTTGGAATGGGCTGCCCAGGGAAGGGGTTGAGGCACCATCCCTGGAGATGTTCAAAAGACGGGTTGACATGGTGCTGGGGGACACAGATTAGTGATGGGGTTTTTTTATCAGGGTTGGGTTGATGGTTGGACTAGATGATCTTAAAGGTCCCTTCCAACCTAGATGATTCTATGATTAGAAAGTTAAGCTCTAGGCCCAAGTCTTTATTTCACCACGGGTGTTTTTGGTCTGTTTTGCAGCACGCTGACCCAGTTACACCACTTCTGGAAATGAGCTGGCTTGCCCACAGTCATGGTGGGAAGGTCCAAACCACGCTGTGTTGTACCCTGCAGTCCACAGAACCCAGCAGTTAGAAGTCTTTAGTTGTCTATTTCCTTTCTAAATATAAATTCAAGCAGGGGGTTGGAGGCTTTTGCATTGCAGTGTTTTTGTTCATGAGTCAGCTTTATTAATAATGGTGGAGCTCAGGATAACTGAAAGCAGAATGTACACTATGGTCCAAAACCGAGAATGTATAAATTATGGTCGATTATTCCCCTGAGTTGTCATTATCAGTTAGTTCCTTTAGAAGGATGATGACAGAAATGGGTCATTAGAAGAACTGCAGATAAACTGATTGCCTTTGCAGACAAGCTCTCAAGAGGTGTTTTATGGTTGGGGCAGTGTTGGTGAAGACAGAGCAGTCTGCACGAGGAGATGTTTGGCCAAACCTCTGGAGTAAGCTCATGCAGTACCAGCCCCAAATGTGTCTGTCTTCTTGCAGCATTCCTTGATTTAATGCTTTTCACTCTGCTATTAAACGCAGAGGTGTGGATCTTTTATGTATATGTGAACATTGTTCAATCCACTCATACCAGAGATGCAAGATGAGTTTTAGAGTAAAAAGGATCTGTAGCAACAACTTCTGTTCCAAAGCCTGTATGGAACAGAGAGCTTGGTGGATGCGGTGCTAAAATTGGTATTGGCAAAATTAGACTTTGTTCTTGCTTCCTAACAGACTTTTGTGTAACCGTGGGCAAGCTGCAGCCTCAGACGCTCCCAGATATTAAAAGATCTTGCCCCTCTTCGTGTCGGTGAGGTAGGTGCCTAAAGAGAAGGTGAGAGCTTAGGCATTTTAAAGAACGTAAGCCTTAATTTCTCTTCTCCTTTTGTGCTTGACAGAGGTGGCATGAAAGTAAATACACTGAAGAGCGTTAAAAGTGCTGAGATACCGCAGTAATGAGGCCGTTACGGAATCTGAGCATGTAATTAGCTGGAAAATGTTTGCCTTCATAATGAATAGATGCTCTCACGCATACATTCCTCGGTAAATATTCAAGTTCATCCTTGCTGTAGTTCCACTAGTTTCACCTTGTATCTGGGGATGGATTTTCCTTTGGCAAAGCCAACTGGAGGTGAGAGCTTTTCATCTCAGAGCTCCAGTCGGGACCACAGGGAGAACGAGGAAGTGTTTCCTGATAAGACACCTAAAAAGGTACTGCGATGAGCGCAATGCAGTAAGAGCAAACCACAATCTTAAAATGTAGCTTAGTGAAGCAGGGTAAGAGCTCAGCCTCATACATACCATACAGCTCTGCAAAGCAAATTTCAGATGCTAAATATATTATCCACACCTACTCTTTTATTTCTGTTCAGGCAAGTTTGATGCTTTCGGCTGGTAAAATACACCCGGTGGAATACATTTGAGAAGGATGAGCAGCCTGATTTAGTTGTCACTTGCGCTGTTCTGTGCCTGCGTTTACAGGGTGATGAATAGGGCTCCTGGTGTTAGCTCTGCCCTGAGCGTAGTCTCCTTCTATCCCACACATCCTTGCCTAATCCAGACGACACCTGCAGAATCCCCTCTGACCTTGGTACTGTATAGACTTTGGGGTCTTTTTATAGGGCTTTGGTGCAGAATTATGTAGCCGATCCACTCCCCACCTATTTTTATTTCCAGCAGCCTCAGACCAGCAACAAGGACTTCCACTTCAGTGCATGCTACGGTCTGGCAGCGCAAAGCAAAGTGACATCTCTATGATTGCTGTAAGAGGTTGTGTCTGGTAGTTATCCTCTGTGGTTTCGCATTGAGGCGAGCTAGAAGAGAGTGACCAGCTGGTCCAAGGAGGTAATTCTCCCCCTCTACTCTGCTCTGGTGAGACCCCACCTGGAGCACTGTGTCCAGCTCTGGAGTCCTCAGCACAGGAAGGACATGGACCTGTTGGAACGGGTCCAGCGGAGGGCCACGAAGATGCTCAGAGGGATGGAGCACCTTGCCTATGAAGCCAGACTGAGAGAGCTGGGGTTGTTCAGCCTGGAGAAGCGAAGGCTCCAGGGAGACCTTGTAGCAGCCTTCCAGTACCTAAAGGGGGCCTACAAGGAGAGCTGGGGAGGGACTCTTTGTCAGGGAGTGCAGTGACAGGACAAGGGGGAATGGTTTTAAATTGGAAGAGGGGAGATTTAGACGAGATACCAGGAAGAAATTCTTTGCTGTGAGGGTGGTGAGACACTGGAACAGGTTGCCCAGAGCAGCTGTGGCTGCCCCCTCCCTGGAGGGGTTCAAGGCCAGGCTGGATGGGGCTTGGAGCAACCTGGTCTGGTGGGAGGTGTCCCTGCCCAGGGCAGGGGGGTTGGAACTGGATGATCTTTAAGGTCCCTTCCAACTCTAACCATTCTATGATTCTTTGATGGGTCTGAAGCTGCTACAGAGTTCAGTCCCTCAGCAACCACCACCATTGAATATTACTGTGGGAATTAGCCCACCTCTTGATAAAGCAGTTCTTTCCTTCCCAGATACAACCAGGAAGCTATTTCATATGGGAGATCTGCTTTCCTGTCTAACGAGTGGTTCTTTGTTGGCAAGACCTACTTTGTCTCCAGCTGGGAGCCAAACTTAGCACCCCCAGCTAATGATGGGACTGAACTTTCCCCGCGGTAACTCGGTAGCTGTGCAGCTGTGCAGGCTCACAATTTGCTCCTCGATTGTCAGTCTCCTGACAGCTTTTTCGGTGGAACAGTTTGAGAGGAGCGGAGAGCCTTGCTTTGGAGACGCAGAAGTGTTTTCACACCTGAAGTGTAATTTCACACCTTGTGTTGCTCAGTAGATAAGTGCGTAAAATAGCACATCAAACGGGAACAGAAGAGGATAGACATGCTGTAGACAAGAGACGGAGGCTTGTTATTTATTTCCTATCTCCAGCACACTCTGAAATAATACTCACTCGCAGAAACCCGGGGACAGATTATAAAAGGGGTTAGGAGGGGACTTTTCAAGCCAAGTGATCTGTTATCGTCATGTGCAGAATGAGGTGAGAACTTGAGCTGGGTCTGTGGACCACTGGGACCACAGAGCACTGCCCGAGACCACACGTGGTATTAGAGATCACATAACAGAGGTGAACTGATGAATACAGGAGGCAGCAGGAGTTTTAAGGGCGGGTTTATAGGACCACTGACTTGGACGGTCCCTTCCATGTATCTACTAGGCGGTTTTACTCTGTGTATTGACTTAAACAGTGAACAAAATTGACCTTGAGTTCACCAAAAAAGTAAGATGAGAATCTGGAAAAAAGCCTTGAAACTATCATGCAAGATTGAATCATCTCACTGCGTATGCAGGTTTCCTTTCCCTCTTTTTCAGGACCCTTGTCATTTGCTATCTCGAATAATAGGTGATAGAAGCATTCTTCAAAAGGAAAGTGGTGGAGAGGCCAAGGGAAGCCCTGGTAAGACAACTCCAACGAAGCTTGGTTGTGAGGGAGAGAGGAAAGGAAGGTGCAGGCGCACCATTAGATGTGGAGAATCCGTAGAGATGCTCATAGTTTCTGGTGATCTTAGGCTTGCCAGGCTTGAGAACCAGACTTCCTGCTCTTACCAAGAGAGTGGGGCTGAAACATGCATCAGTTTCTTTCCTTTCTTCTCCCCAGCTGAATATGAGGAAATCTGAGAGGTGCTTTCACCTGCTGCTTCTCATCCCGTGGATTTTACTAAGGAGAACAGTCCAGCCCTCCTCTGTTATTCACTGTGGAAAATGCTGCTGCACTTGGAGATGTTTTTGGATGTTTTTCACTACCTGGGGCTTTCATTTCATCTGTCTCCTGAGGCAAACATATTGTTTTCTTTCTTTTTGTCCTAGACACCTACGGAAAGCTCTGCTTGCTCAACTCTGTGGGCCAGGAGATGTCTCGCTGCAAGACCTCCATTCGGCAAGGACAGCCCAACCCTGTCTACAAGGAGACTTTCATCTTCCAGGTTGCCCTCTTCCAGCTCTCCGACGTCACCTTAATGATCTCCATATACAACAGACGCAGCATGAAGCGCAAGGAGATGATCGGCTGGATTTCTATGGGTCAGAACAGCAGTGGAGAGGAAGAGCAAAGTCATTGGCAGGAAATGAAGGAGTCGATGGGGACACAGGTCTGCAGGTGGCACATGCTGCTGGAGTCCTAGTGGACATGGCAGCTTAGAGGTCCTGGGACTACGGGCTGTCTTCCCTTGCCCTCAGTCAGCAGAAAACAGATATTCCATGGCAGGCACTGTGCTCTGACAGGTCACCTACACTTTCACGTTCACCTTCTCAGTGTCAGCAGTCATGGGTGTAAGAGGTAGCAAGGCCTGGGCAGCAAGTTTAGTTCCTGTCTTTCCAGGTTGTCTTGCGTTTTCTACATCCCAGTATTAACCCTAGGGAGAAGCAATGGGAATACCTACAAAAATCTTTTCCTTGGTCATTGTCCTGTTCATTTTGTCATGGACTTATCCTTCTAATGCTGTTTTCTTTGAGGGTAAACTCTCTCTTCCCTCCCTCCCCTTTTTTTGTATTAATGAATGTTGCAAATATTCTTGGCACACAGATAGCTCACAGAAAGGCTAACCTGCATGCAGGTGACATTCTCTCCCTCTTATTATTGTGTTCCCAAGTCCTAGAAATAAGCATTTGATGCCACTGTAGACTGGATGATGCATTTTTCAGGAAGCATGGGAAAGCACTCTTGAATTTTCTGTCAACTTTTAAGTGCCTAGACATAATACTACTGTTCTCCTGCACTAACAACTGATATTAGGACTAAACACTAGCAGTATTTTTAATTAGGCATCCTGTACACTTGTTAGCCTGCATTGCCATGGCTTTGCACGAGAGATAACTAGAATCAGTTTTATATTGCAATTGTACAATGCATGTTTAAGTGCTTACTTGAAGTTCATGGCTTCTGTCATCACGAGTACCAAAAAAAGACCAGAACGAGCTGCACATCCACCTCTGTGCCTGAATCGCTCTCTTCTGCATCATTTTTCTGCCCGTGTATTACTTCAAATGAACCTCAGTTTTAAAAAGCAGAGAGGCGTTTGTGTCAGCGTCACACAGGAAGGCTTTAAGGTCCATGATTTCTCTGTGATTTGGTTAAGCACAGTTTGCTGAGGGCTCTTCTTTGAATGTGCCACCCTGTAAGATCTTCTTGGGGTCTGAAAAGCGGACTGGTTTTGGCACGCTGAGCAGTAGAGGATGCCAGCCCATGTCGTCTCACCTTCAGGGTGAACTCTCCTGCAGGCACGGAGCAGGATCCAGAGGATCCCTCTGGCTCTGCCGAGCTAATGCCCAAGAAAAAAAATATTACAAATACGCTTCCTGCCTCTTAACTGAAAAGAGTGCAAGGGACGGGCTTGCTGGATGAGGTGGTGACACTCCTATGTGGTTACTTTTCAGACTATATTGTCATTTTCCATTCTAATCTTTTTTTCCTGTTTCTGTGAGTTGAAGTCATGGAGACGCTGGTTAAGGGGACACGTCTCAGTCTGCTACCTGACTGTTGAAAGTTCGGTGGTTGTTCGCTGTGTTCATGCGGCAGCAGAGGATGTTCATCCTCTAGCCTAGTGATGGTACGTAGACAGTAAGGTGCTGAGATCTTCAAATACTATCAGCTGCCCAATCTCCTGGCATTTCTCCATTCCTGCTGACGACGGCAAGACACAGGCAATGTTTTGCTGGAAAGGTTTGTCTGTGCTGAGTCACTCTGTGTTTTGGTTTTGTCGTTTGCTGAGACCTGGCACCAGACTTTGCCTCCTACTGCACCACAACCGTCTCCTTCCCTCCAATGGTGCTGTGCGAATCTTAACTAATGCAAATTTTGGCACTTTCGGCTGTTTGACCGAAATCGAGCCTCGGTGCTGGTTTGCATCACCCCCAGGCTGGCCGGGCACTGCGGGGCGGTGGCGTGATGCACGCAGGTTGTCACTTGGGGTGACACACACGGGCTTTGTCTGTCCTTGTGAGGCAGACAGAATAATCTATGTGCGGACAGACATCCGGTATGGGTGAGACAAATTATCCCGCAGGTCACGGTTTTGTATATTCTTATGGCTTACCTGTCTGAGCATCACTTTTCTGGTGGGACTGGTGGGTATCCTATGCAGGAGGGTTGTCCTCCATTGCCTAGATCAGGTGGTGTAATACCTGCTTTGCACTTCTGGGGCTTGTATCACAAAGCATGATCAAACCCAAATACAGCTCGGCAAACAAATACCTTTTTGACTGCACTGTTAATGCTGATGTACTACCAATGCAAGAGAAAATGAGTGATTTGAGTGATTATCATTTGAGTGATAACCAGAAGAATAGAAATGTTTTGGTTTTTTTTTTAATCATGTAATTTTCTTCTGGAAAAAAAAAAGGTAGAGGAAACAGCCCAATTCAAAAGATGCATTTGCTGATTCCAATTGTTTTCCAATCTCTGCATCTTGTTTCCTGAACTGTGGAAGATGTATATACAGGTGTTTGTAAGTAATTTTATTATCTGGGATATGTATGTATAATAAACCTGTTGAGATTCTCTTCAGAACTTCTTGAACTTGCAAAGTGTTACTTACGCTTAATGATTAGCTAAGGGAAAAAGTGTAAGTTGATAATATGTTTCAGCAGTGAGCCTGGAGATAATGAGGTAAACAGCTTTTGGACTTCCATGCCATTTTCACATCAAGACCTTTTCTGAAGAAGCATCATTAAGGGAATTGAAGTCTAATATATGGTTTCCGTATAGAGTATTGGGAGACACAGGAAAGCAAGTGAAAATAGCTTTTTAACTTGCTCTGAGTTAAAACTTTGCTCACAAGTGGAAGCCGGTTGCTGCACCCTCACAACAACATTTTGGCCTGATGTTTTACCAGAAATTTGGAGAGAAGGGAAAAGGGCTGAGACAAGGGGAGCATTGGGGTTTTAGAGCTGCTGCTAAAGCTCTTGAGACATCCTTGCCGTGAGCAACGCGTTTGTGAGGTTCGTTAAGTTCCTCCTGAAGGAATGGAGGAATTTAGGAATCTTGAGATGAACACGGTGCTGGGGGTGTTCACACTTGCTAGCTGTACTTTGGGATTTTTGTTGCTTTTTGTGGTTTATTTTTCTGTTCAGTATCGACTGCCTGTGAAATGAAGGTTTTGCAGCAGCTCCCCCATATTCCAGAGGTCCCCTAATTCTTCCCCTTGAATTGAATTCAATGAAGATTGAATTAGTCATTGCAAATGTTGATACAGGCTGGGCTTGTGCTCGTGGTCCTTCTTATGTAAATACCACTGCCCTTTCAGTCATTGCTTTAACCCCTTCTTTCCTTTGGAAGTGGCTGACAAGACTAAATTCCAGAAAAATTTCCACCCCTTGGGAATCTTGACTCATGCTTGGATCTCAGTGGTTGTTAGCAGACTCTGCTGGCCTCCATCCACAAGGATGCTGATGCCCCATCTCTGCTTCCGTGGGGTTCCAGGGGTGGGAAAGAACCATGGGAGGGCCATGAGGAGTTCAGCGAGCTGGAAGGCAATGGCTAACCTGGTTCTGGGAGCGCTTGGGTGCTTGCAAGTCCTAATGCTTCGAGGTTTCCTAGAACACTCATGTTTCCTAATATAATTCATCCCCTTTTGACACTGCTGTCCGGAGTCCCCTTGTAGTTTATTTGAATTTTCTTCTCTTGTGGGGAGGGGAAAAAGCCTGAAAACCGACAAAACCATCGTGTGGGAAGGAGCTAACTGCACTGGCATAAGCCCAGAATATTGTGGGCAAGTGGTCTGGGTACATCTCTGTATCTCGTACAGCGTCGTTCAGCTAGTTGCAGTCTGTTCCTTCCTTTTCTCCAGCCGGCACGTCCCTGTCCTGCTGGGCTCCGTGCGGCTGTTTTTATTATTTTTTTTTGTTTTTAATGTGTATCGACAACAGAACGGAATGATCTCACCACCTTTGTATTCCCTGTAATAATGCTGACTTTCAACTGATGCCCACAGAAATGGGTACTTCTTTTGGCCCACTGAGCTACAGCTGTGGCTTGCTGAGGTGCTGGTTGGAAAAGGCTCTAACTGGATGATCTGCTGTGTCGTTTGGTTTGTTTCGGTTTCCTTTTTACCAGTTTTTTTTACCTTTAATTACCTGGCCCCTGCTTGGCCTGGCTCACTCCTGTCACTGTGGCTTGTCTGCGTTTCCCTCGCAGGGTAACGTGGGCTGTGTAGCTCCTGAGGCCCACGGTCAATACACAGATTTTTAGCAGCTGCAGATCCTGGTAAGTCATTTAGTGCTTTCTGTTGTTGACTGATCCTCAGTCATTAATGTCTTTAGACGTTCTTGGACGCGCAGAACCAAAGGCTGCCAGCTGCTATTGATCATTTCTCCAGCATAAAAGCCTAAGGTGGCAGCTTGGCAGAGGAGCAGGCGTTTTCTCCTTCAGTTGAAGCTGGTGATGACCCTGGAGCTTCCACTCCTGGATTTATCAACATCTTTGATCTGTATGATCGCTGCACTTCGACTCTTGACTCTCAGCAGCCTCCTGCTCTTCACCGTAAAAGGTGGAGGTAGAGCCTGAGCAGAGAATGCAGCCTTCCCTGTTGCATTCTCTCTGGGCTCAAGGGGAGCTGACTCTTGGAGGGGGTCATCTTGAAGCTTGAAAGGTGGGCTCATGTGAACCTCATGAAGTTCAACCAGGCCAAGTGCAAGGTCCTGCAGCTGGGACATGGCAATTCCAGGCACAAATACAGGTTGGGCAGAGAATGGCTGGAGAGGAGCCCTGAGGAAAAGGGCTCAGGGGTGTTGGTGGATGAGAAGCTCAACATGAGCTGGCAATGTGCACTGGCAGCCCAGAAGGCCAACTGCATCCTGGGCTGCATCAAGAGAAGTGTGGCCAGTGGGGCGAGGGAGGTGATTCTACCCCTTCACTCGTTTCTGGTGAAACCCCACCAGGAGCTCTGTGTCCAGCTCTGGAGTCCTCAACACAGGAAGGACATGGACCTGTTGGAATGGGTCCTGCAGAGGGCCACACAGATGCTCAGAGGGCTGGAGCACCTCTGCTGTGAGGACAGGCTGAGAGAGCTGGGGGTGTTCAGCCTGGAGAAGAGAAGGCTCTGGGGAGACCTTGGAGCAGCCTTCCAATATCTGAAGGGAGCTCCAGGAGAGCTGGGGAGGGACTCTTTGTCAGGGAGTGCAGGGACAGGACAAGGGGTAACGGTTTTAGATTGGAAGAGGGGAGATTTAGATGAGATCCCAGAATGAAATTCTTTGCTGTGAGGGTGGGGAGGCACTGGAACAGGTTGCCCAGAGAAGCTGGGGCTGCCCCATCCCTGGAGGGGCTCAAGGCCAGGCTGGATGGGGCTTGGAGCAACCTGGTCTGGTGGGAGGTGTCTCTGCCCAGGGGAGGGGCGTTAGGACTTGATGATCTTTGAGGTCCCTTCCAACTCTAACTATTCCATGATTCTATGAAAAGCAACCAGAAGCTGACAGATCCTAAAGCTTGGAAAGGCACATGGGATAATTCAGCGTAGCTGGTTTGGGTGTTTATATGGAATCTGGTGCTGATTTAACGAGCTGTTGTGCGAGAAGTGAAAACCTCAAGCAGTGGGCCAGAAGGTGGTGGGGAGGGAAGGGTCTTGGTGTGTTTGTGCTGTCGTAGAGCTGGGAGTTTGCTGACTATGGACCCCAGAAAGCAGCCCGCCAGGCTGCAATGGCATTAAACCTGAGCCGAAACCCAGTTTCTCAACATGGTTCCTCCAGATCTGCTGAAGGCAGACAGGTTTCCTCATCCCATCTGGGTTTTTTTGTGTGTGTTTTCAGTGCGGAGTGGCTTGTGTCTTCCTGCGCTGTAGGCCTTAAGAAATGAATGTGTAAATGTTTTATCTCTTGCAGCAGCCCAAGGTCATCTTTCTGGAACAGCAAACAGGCAGAGGATCCAAAGAAGATCAAGTCTGTCACGTGAGTGAGGTTAGCATCTGCACTTACAAACGACAAAGGCTATTAATCCTCATGCTGTAATCCCCAAGCTGTTTGCCAGCTGGCAGCAGGAAGATGTTCCCACTCAACCCACACAGCTATTCATGGTTTTTTTCACCTTTATGAAGCAGATATAGGTCAATACTTCAGCCTGGATAAAGAACTTTGTAGATACCATTCATCTCTTCTAGCCTTACGGCCTCTTCACCACACAAACCATCTGTACAAAGGAGGGTGTAAGCAGAGAGCTGCAGGCTGGGCTCTCCCTCTGCTGCTCCCCCAAAATAGAAGACTGAAGGTGAGATTTATTTCCACCCCCCCCCCCCCTCTCC